GGATCGAGACCCAGGCACAGTGGCATTTTTCCACATTTCAGCCCCATCTAGAGATAAAAAGGCTCCGTCCTCTTCTCTTTCTCCCACACACACACATCTCCCTGCTGGCCCTTCTCCCACTGCTGGCTTTTGACCTAGATGTCCACTAGCAAACATAACTGTGCTTCGTTTAATTGGTTCCCAGGAAGATGAAAATCAACAGGCGTTTTATTTGCACGTGAATCATCACAGTGCATCCATGGCTTAAATAAAAGGTAATGGTTGACGTTCGTTTGTAGTCAGCCACCTTACTTCTTTCTCTCCTGCTTCCTAAAGGCTCGTACAGGACTTGTGCAGGAACTCTGGAGTTGGGGAGCTGAGGGGGCAGCACTGATGTTCCCTTCATGCCACATTTCTGTCCGCGGTTTAGTACGCACACAACTGTCAGTTTAAAGGGAGAGGAGTTTTCCCCTCACTGTGTTGCTTCTCACATCTTTTGTTCCATCCTTCCGGTTTGCTGCTAATTCATTTAGCACGTCTGTTTTATTGTCTCTCCTTGCCAACACAGTAGTAGTAGTAGTAGTAGTAGTAGTAGTAGTAGTAGTAGTAGTAGAGTCATAACTACCTTTTTCAGGATACTGCCTCTGAAATCTCACTCCCTTTTATAACTCAAGAGTAGTCTTTTTTCTGCCAGCAGGCATAAAGCATCTGTCTTAAACTCGTGGCATCTAATTAGAATCATCTCTTTGCTGGACTGCCTCCCCACTTGTGTGTTAGCACCTTGTAGGAACGCCTTCTGAGTGTGCTCTGTGATGGGACAGTCACTGGCATGTAGAAGGTACTTAATGTTGGGTGAACTGAGTGAACAGAGCCAGCCTGCCTACCCGAGAAAGCAATATCTTACATTGTTTATCCAACTCAAAAAGTTCAGTCCAGGTGTCAGCAGCACGGGCCTGAGTGGTGCTGAGTTAGTGAGTCAAAATAGCTTAATCCCAATGTTCCTTAAGATGCCAAATTTATAAATGCTTGACAAAATTTATTTTTATATTTATATCTATGTGATTTATTTACATGTGAATCATCACAGTGCATCCATGGCTGAGATACAAGGTAAAGGTTGAAACTAATTTGTATTTTCATATTGATTTTATTTTATAAATGAAATTTGATCCTAGAAACTTTAGTTTATAATACAAAGTGTACACTCTCTTTTCCTATTACAGAACATAACTGAACAGGAGCCATGCTGAGACAACAATACATATTTAAAGCATAGTTTTAAATACCTACTTTTTTAAGTCTACAGTACCCTTTAAGAGGAACAGTTGTCTATGGTTATGCTACTTATTCTAAAGAGTCTTTTCTAGAGCCTGCAATTATTACGAAGCTCACATTTTCCAGTATTTCACAATTACATCTGTCTTATTTAGCATACCCTAAAACGGTTATGTAGCTTTTTATAAAAAGCTAATTTTATCTTCTGCAGCCTGCCTTGACAGCGTACCTTTCTATTGATTGAAATTCTAAATCTGTGCTGAGGAATAGAATTTCATAATATACATTTGTTAACGAAGATAAGAGAACATCAAAATGTGTTTAACATGAACGTATTGAAGCATTCTAAACTTAACATTTGATCAGCTGTTCCATCGGCCTGGCCCTGTCTGTTGTGGTTTAAGAAGATTGTTTGTAGATGATGACTCAAAGCAGAGACCTTTATTTAGATGTCTTCACTCTCTCATCCTTTCCATTCCCAAGTGTCCAAATTCAGGGAACAGGGCGGGGTCAGACCTCACAGCCAACATGGAAGAGTCCTGTCTTTCCTAGTTTTTAATAATTACTTATACTTTTGTAACTGTATATTTCAGAAATGTAGCAGTGGGGCCTGAAGCTGTAACTGTACTGATATCCTCTGAAAAGCTTTAAAACTTTTGCTTTGGGGAATAAAACCAAAAAATAAAAATAAAAGATGAAATACAGAGATTTTTCTCAGTGTTGTGGAACAAAATAAAATTATCCTCTCTTACAATAAATGGCAGTTAGGGAAAGCAATTTCTCCTGTCATGGTTAAAAGCTAGGAACACAAAATCAGCATTTGAAATGATAACCCACAGTGTTTTAAATAAAGACACTAAAATGCATTGTACATTATCTGTTTCCGAGGATGATTGCATACGCTTGTTATTGAGTCCAGCAAAAAATACAGAATGTACTTGGCAGGTGGAACTATAAAAACCAGGGATGAAAAAAGACATATTAGGTCGAATTTTAAAGTTTTCTTTTCTGAGGGGGCTCTATTTCTGGTTACTTAATTTAGTCTGCTCAGCCTTTTATGTATTTGTTCATAGCCACAGGCATGCAAAAGAAAATAAATCTTTGGTATTTGAAGCAATAATGAAGATTAAAGGCCCCTAAACCTCTGCAGTTTTATCTCATTCAATGGAAAAAGCATAAATTAGGAATCGAAGTTTCTTCCGAAGCCCATCCTTGATACTTCATAGCTTTGTATCCTGAGCAAGTCACTGAATTTTTCTGAGCTCGTTTCTTCACTTGTACAGCAACGTCAAATGCCTGATTTATTTAAGTCACGGGACTGTGCTGAGGATGAGAGGAGTCAAAATAGGCTTCATATAAAGTGTTTTACAAGTTCCAGGAAGGTCCTGCTATAATTCCCATTTTGCAGATTGGAAAAAGGCTGAGAGAGGCTAACAAACTTGTGGAAGGTCACCCAGCTAGTAAATGTGAGAGCTAATACTAAAGTCCTATGTCTAAATTACAGCATTTTCCAACATTGGCACTATTGATTGGGGGGAGGGGGGCGTGACTGATAATTTGTTCATGGGGGTGAGGGGTGCCCTGTGCATTAGTGGATGTGTAGCAGCATTCCTATCTTCTATCCCCTAGATGCCAATAGCATCCCATAAGTTGTGACAATCAAAAATGTTCTCAGACCTTGCCACATGTCACCTGGCAGGCAAAATCACCCAACATTGAGAAGCACTGGTCTATGTGATTCCAGAGCTAAAGTTCTTTTTTTTTTTTTTTTTTTTTTTTTAAATATATTTTATTGATTTTTTACAGAGAGGAAGGGAGAGAGACAGAGAGTTAGAAACATCGATGAGAGAGAAACATCGACCAGCTGCCTCCCGCACATCCCCCACTGGGGATGTGCCCGCAACCCCGGCACATGCCCCTGACCGGAATCGAACCGGGACCCCTCAGTCCGCAGGCCGACGCTCCATCCACTGAGCCAAACCGGTTTCGGCATAAAGTTCTTAACCACTTTTAGGATGACACTAGTGCCCTAGTGCACATTAAAAGGAAATTAATTAGAAGAAATATTGTAATATCACTGTTCGCCCTTTCTTTATAATAGAAGCGTCAACCAAATTCATGATCGACAATGACAGACGAAACACATGCATGTGATTGGCACCATCAAGAGCTTTATATGTATCACTCGTGCGCCAGTCAACATTTATTTTTAAATTGCTGGTGCGCATCATATGTACTGGCTGGTAGGTCGGTTGGTTGGATGGACAGATGGATGGTCGGTCACGTAGCCTTTTATATATATAGATTTATCAGTGTCATTGTTATTCTGAGTAGTTCCTGATTAGAATACTTCATAACAGCAGTTTTCAGAATTAAAAATGAAATAACTAGTTTCATTCCTCATCGGGCTGGCATTGTCTTCTTTTGTAAGGCCTTTGTAAATTTCTTATAGGCACACCATCGACAGCAAGCCAGAAGTCGGACTCAACAGCCCCTAAATTCCCTTGCCCTGTAATTCTGTGATCATTCCCTAAGGTTCCCAGCTGGTCTCTCTTGAACAGCCCCTTCTCATCTGAAATGTTTATGGACTCCTAATATCAGTTATCATCTGAGAAGCCAGAGAGAGAAACACATGCATTTTCATAACTATTACCTCATTTAATTTTCACAATAAGCCATTGAGGTTTGTAACAGCTGTTCGTGTTTACATTTTGTTTAAGAATCTTAACCTTTCTTCTTTGCCTGCTCCTTCAACTTTGGTGTACTCATTGCAGAACTTGATATAGAGACTCAGCAGGAAGTTGATATGGAAACTCAGCAGGTGCCTTTCTTACCAGCACTGCATGAAGAGGAACATCCTTCTGAATTACTCAACATAAAGCAGATGCTTTCTGCCCTGCATGATTCTTTTCCCTTCCACCTAACAAGCGTCATTAAATGCATGCCTCCTCTGGCTGTGTTCGGGGACTTAAGAACCACTAAGAGTGGAGCGCTGTTACTTCTGTTGCTTACTCTTTCCCCCCAGAAAGGCCTAGGTTGACCTTCTCAACTGTCTCATACTTCCTGGTCTTTATCTCTGATCTACATCCCATCTCTGCCTGATACTGGCACAGTCCCCAATTTATTATCACCCCTGAACCAAAACTTTCTAAACAGTTATGATTGACTTTATGATGTTTGTTTCTGTGTTATGTAAAATGATTGTGAAATTAGATGCATTTGATCTGGGCCTTATTAAATAGTCAGAACATGTCTTGTGCCTAGGCCTGTATGAATGAAAAAATTTTAAAACACTGAGTTTTAGGATTGATCGCTGCTGATGACTGAGTGTGGTTAAAAACATTGGCATGACCTGAGGAGAAGCTGGTATAGTTGCCGAGAGTGACAAGGAGCTGGACTTGCCCAGGGATCTTTAGGACGCAGAATTCTGCTTGTGGGAGGTCTGAGCAGCTATTTGAACCAATGGGAAAGAGACCTGAGGTTACTTCACAACAATACAACTTTAGTGTCAATTAAAACTTTTATTTTTTTCTTTAAAGTGTATGCGAATCATTTAAATTACTCTATGATTCATTTTAGAAGGACTAATTGGCTCCTTCTGTAAAATGATAATGTCTGGCCAAAGAATCTTTTTAGATCAACATGCGTCCTTATTGACCACACTTACCTGGTTCTGATTTGATGTGCATCAGCCATTTCATCATGTTAGATAAGTAAAGCGCTGGGGGGTTTTCTTCCTTTTCCAGGTGGCCTTTTTGAAGATGTAACCGTGGGAGCCGAAGCCTTCCTCTGCACAGCACGGAGCACATGGGAGGCCGGCAGTCAGCCCAGGGAGCAGTGATTACAGACAAGAGCCCGAGCCCTGCAGTGGAGTTTGAGTGTTACCTGCATATATTCTCTAAACTTCAACTCTGTGAAAGACCAAGGTGGTGAAGGAAGTCACCGTCGCAGGTTGAGTTAAGTGTAGAAGTTCAGTCCCTATTTCCACAGAGAAGAACATCCAAATGTGTGCTGTGTCAGACCACCGGGAAGGCTGCGAGCTAGCGGAGACCCGTCTGTCCAGAGCGGAATGCAGAGGGACTTCGCTGCTGGAATTGTGTTAACTGCCATAAATCTTTGGAAATAAACTTTCAAAGAACTTCTCAGGTTCCTTTAAAACAATTTTTTTAAAACGAAAATATCTAATTTTGCATACCTTATTTAGAGGAGATGCTCAATAAATAAATGTTTGTTGAATAAATGATGATCAAATTAAAGGTTTTCCCACTTATGAAAACCTGCCTGTATTCCCTTTGTTCTTTATTTCCTTTACCAATATTATTGCAAATCAGTATATAGACCTCACTGGCATCCTGGTACAGAGTGGTCAAAACCCTCATGTGCCCAAGCAGGGGGTGAAGAGGTCATTGAATGAGAATGATAGAGCGAGCGCAGCCAGCTCCTGAGTTTACAGCAAAGGTTGGAGACTTGCCTATTCTCACGAAGTAGGAGCGAAGCCCGGACCAGAGCCAGCTCCTCCTTTCCCACTCCCCCCTCAGGAGGACGGGCTCTGGGTCTGCAGCTCTGATTGCTGCTTATCGAGCCTCTTAGCCTTCATCCCAACCCACAGACCACCAGTACCTTTTATTTGAAAGCCCTGAGTTTTCTGTCCCCTAATTTCCTAACTTAACACAGGGGTCACTGGCACTGTGATTTGGTGAAACTTTCATGACATCTTCTTCCTTGTAGTTTAACCAAAACATTTGTCCTGCCAGCGATCAGTGGTCTAGCACTCAAATCCATCACTGGTGGGCTAACATAGGAATAAAACTCATCAGTTTAATCTGGTGGAGTCATTTTTAAGCACAGTTTGAAACATTGAAGTCCTTAGTAATATGTCCAAGACTCCCAGCCATAAAGGAGAATTTGGCTTCACTCACGCTACTAAACTCCCAAACCCCATGCTGACTTTTTATGCTTTAGATTGCTCTCTGTCCTCTGTTGGTAGAGAGCAAGGTTTCTCAGCCTGGGCTCTACTTACATTTTGGACCAGATAATTCTTTTATTTATTTATTTTTAGTGTTGCTTTCTTTTTTAAAAATTTATCTTTACTATTGAAAGTATTACAGATGTCCCCCGTTTTTCCCCCTTGACCTGCTCCCTCCCAGTCCCTATCCCTCCTCCCCCCCCCCCCCCCCCCCCGCAGGCCTTCACTATTGTCTGTGTTCATGGGTTATGCGTATCCTATTTAATAAAAGGCTAATATGCGAATCAACCAAAAGGCAGAATGTCCTGTTGCTATGACATGCACTGACCACCAGGGGGCAGACGCTCAACACAGGAACTGCCCGCTGGTGGTCAGTGCGCTCCCACAGTGGGAGTGCTGCTAGGCCAGAAGCTGGGCTCATGGCTGGTGAGCGCAGAGGTGTTGGCGGGAGCCTCTCCCGCCTTCATGGCAGCGCTAAGGAGCAGTGAGCTGAGCAAGGAGCAGCAAGCAGGCGGGCAGTAAGGAGCAGGGAGTCCCGGACTGCAAGAGGGCACAGGCCGGCCTGAGGGACAAACGCCCCCCCCCCCCAACCCCAGTGCACAAATTTTGTGCACTAGGCCTCTAGTATGCATATAAGTTCATTGGTTAATGGGCCAGATAATTCTTTGTTGTGGGAGACTGTCCTGTGCTGTTGGGAAAAAATGTTTTTTGTCCTATACCCTCCTAGGTTCAATGGCTGGAGCTTACAACTCAAACTGATAAAAAGACATATTAACAGAAAAAGAAAGTTTAATCACATACATCTGCACAGGAGTTTCAAAAGAAATGAGGCTCTAAGAAGTGACTAGAGGATTCAGGTTTATATACCATCATAGGCTAAACAAAGAAAAGGGAGGTTTGAGCTCCTAGGCAGGGAGAAGCAAGTCATAGGAGGGTGAGAGGAGGAGATGTTGGTTACTGAGGATTGACTTACAGTGCAGGCGAGGGTTTCTCAGATGATGAGAGTTGTCTCCAGAAGTAGCTCTCTTTCCTGGTGCAGAGTGGTCTTTACAAATGGAAATTTTCCGTATAAATGTAAATATACTTTACAAAAGGGGAAATTCATACTGTGTTTTTTGGCTGTTAGGGGAGGTAAAAAGCTTTTCCTGCTTCTGCTGGTTCTCAGTTCTTTAGCTCAAAATAATGTTTATGCCAACTAATGCTTATGGCATATTTTGGGGTGACATTCGAGTCCCCTTCAGTGCATTGGAGGATGTTTAGCAGCAGCCCCCTCCCCAAGCTGTGACAACAAAACGTGTCTGCAAACATTGCCCTTCGTGGCGAAATCAAGCCAGTTGAGAACCACTGCTATAGCAGATATGTCTGAGAAACAAGATTTGGTGACTGATGGGGTTCAGGGAAGGCTTCGAGCTAGTGGAATTTCAATTTTTTAACATGACCTTTTCTCCTTTCCTTTTGATTCAACTGGCCTCATCCCAGCAGCCTGTCTCACCTGCCTCCTCCCTTGCAGGACCACCTCCTAATCATTAAGCCCTCTTAGGAAGGAAGCCTCTGGTCTGTTTTCCTCAGAGACAGTTTCAGTCAAACTAGAGATAGCATCTAGGCCTCAGTTGTTTCCGCTCCAGGCCCAGAAAAGCAGTGAAACCATGGTGATACCATGGCTGACACAGGACCAGGCGCACTGATCAACTATCCCCTACCCTAGCCTTGACCAGTCAGTAGCGACCATTGCCGTACTCCCTTAGTCACCATGATTAATGATGCCTATATAACCCGTCCCCTGGAAGCCAGGTCTTCGAGCATTAGCTCACTGGGCTCCTGCTTGGGCCACTTCCTAAAAATAAACCCTCACTTTCTTTGCTGCGAACTCCTGTTCTTGCCTTATTGGGCTTTGATGCACACAGGCAAACAGACCTCCTTTAGTCCAGTAACAATATGCCATTTGGCATATTTCTGTTTTGACTTAAAGTTACTTAAGAAGTGGGCAGTGCAAGAAGGGCATTCTGACCCTCCTTTGTTCTCCTGAAATAAGTCTCCCATGTGAAAGGTCTACTCCCTGTACCAGGAGGTAGAAAGACTTCCTCATCACCAGAGAGAGGGAATTCTGGACCAAAAACCCTGCATAAACAAACCGTGTTGCTTTTTTTCTAATTTACTATCCCAAGCACAAACCCTTTGTCTTGTCAGTTCTTCACAAATATATTGTTTCTTTGTCTAAAAGGTATAAAAGTGGTGTTTGGTTACTTCTTTGAGTCTCATATTTCTATGTGCTCCCATACATATAAATTTAAATGTTTGTGGGATTTTTTTTCTTTTGTTAATATCTTACATCATTTTAATTGTTGGGTGAGCCAAAGAGCCTAGTAGGGGGGAAAAAAAAGTTTTCCTCCCCACCAATTTCCTGTAGTTATGTATTGCCAATGGTGCAGCCATTACAAAATCTGAGACATTTTCTAGCATGTGGCCAGGTTTAAGTATACTATTGTTTTCACAAATGAATGCTGATGAATAACTTTGTGTGTGAATATTTTTTAGGAGTTCAGTTTGTATTGATCTAATTTTGGAGACTAGAATAAATTAGATGAAGCAGAGTTCAGCCAGTGCATAAAATATAATGTTATTCTGAGACAGTTTTTTTTTTTTCTCTAGAAAAGAAAGACATCATTACCATACTAGTATTTGCCTACACTTTAGATGGTGCAGGTGCTCATGATTCAACAGATAATGTTGCAGCCCTAACTGGTTTGGCTCAGTGGATAGAGCGTCGACCTGCGGACTAAAGGGTCCCAGGTTCAATTCCCGTCAAGGGCATGTACCTTGGTTGCGGGCACATTCCCAATAGGGGGTGTGCAGGAGGCAGCTGATTGATGTTTCTCTCTCATTGATGTTTCTAACTCTCTATCCCTCTCCCTTCCTCTCTGTAAAAAATCAATAAAATATTTAAAAAAAAAAAAAGATAATGTTGCAGAAGACCCCAGAAAAACCAAGCAATGCTTTGAAGAAGTGGAGAAACACTGTTTTAATTACACCGCGGACTCCGGGAAATAATTTCCAAATCAGAGTACGGAAACATGCAGGGGCCTTCATTTTATATCTCCCTGTGGTCTTTGTCCTGCAAATATGGATTATGCTTCTGGTCCTTTTCGAGGGCTTTGAAAGAAGGCCCTCAGGTGTTGGGGGTCTCCAGGCCATATCTGATGGTCTGGCCTGGCGCGCAGGGGATAACACTCTCCCTCCGGGCAGTGCACTGTTCACAGGTTTATGGCCTCTGTAACAGGTGCTGCAAGACCAGTTTCTGGGAAGGAGGTAATGACTTAATTATAGGTTAGCTTGCTGGCATGGATTCCAATTGCTAGCCCCCCAAATATCAGGACTATATTTGAATTAGCCCTTTTTAGCCTTCTCAATAACTCTACCACTCAGCCCAACTAGAAAAATATTCGAATTTCCTAACCTTGTCTCTCTAAGTCAAGTAGAGTCTAATGCAGTTAGACCCCCTTAGCTCTGTCTGGGGTCTTAAGGAAGAACAAGCCAATGAGACTTAAGTCCAGCTCCCTTTTTATTCTTTTTATTTTTTTAGTATTGATTTGATAGAGAGAGGGGGAGAGAGATAGAAACATCAAGGAGAGAGAAACATCAACATTGATCTGCTGCCTCCTGCAGACACCTCTACAGGGAACTGAGCCCACACTCAACCACTGAGCCACACTGGCCAGGCAGTCCAGCTGCTTTCTACTGGCACAGATGAAGTGGTTGTGAGAAGCTTTGAGGGAGGGCCAGGAGTAGGAGGAGCTCACATACACGGGACAGATTTCTGACTACAGAATGCAGTTACTATGTGTGAAATTGTACGTAACATGCACTTAGAATCTTGTCATGGTGAAGTTCTCAAGCTCAGCAGGCCTTTATTGGTTCTAAGCCAGTCTCAGAGTGAGCTGTTAACATCTAGTGTCTAGTCACTGGGGTAGAGAGATTACATGAGGGTAACATGTCTGAACCTGAGAGTCTACTTAATGGCCACAGGGAATGGGGAAAGAGGGGAAATGGAACCCTTTCTATTTTTTGTCTAAGTAAAGAGAAAATTGCTCTCGCTCCCTCTCTTTCTCTTTGCCTTCCTTCACCAAGAGAGCAACGTGGAGACAGAGATATCCAGCATTAAAAATATTTAAATTTAGTTAAAACACATTAGGAGGGCTAGAGAGAATAAACAGGCAGTGCAATCAATGTTGGCCCTTGGAAGTCATTCTACATTAGCTTCCTGTGTTTTGTGAATATAATTCCAGAATCTATTCAGTAATATTCCTTG